GGGGGAGGTGTGGAAGAGGTAGCCTCCTCCCCCGCAGGCTCCTGCCATACGCTGGCCAACAAAGGGGTCTCTAACCCTAACCCTAACCCTCCCTCCCATTGTTCACAGCAGCAGGCCGTGCGCTGATGGGCCAGAGGAAAGAAGCACCGGGGTTTGGCTTTCAAAGCAGAAGCCTAACACAGTGTTTCTCAACCTTTTTTTTTTATAATAAAGTAACCCTTAAAAATAAGTACCCCCAGTACCTACAGTTTTCAGACACACCATTTTTTTTCTTCCATTGCAACACGTTTGTTTAAACAACGTAATCGTAGCAGGGCAGGCGATGAAATTTTTGGGTGTAAAAAGTACAAAAATAATAAAGTGCGGTAAAACTTAAAACAAAAATTCAGTTTTCTCCAAAGTTCAGTTGGGTTGATGAACCCCCCCAGACTTCTCTTGAGTACCCCAACGGTTGAGAAACACAGGCCTAACACACTTGTAATTACTCGCCTCATCCTCTTCTAACCCCCGCCTCCAGCCATCTGAAGAAGTGGGCTGTGCCCACGAAAGCTCATGATCCCATCTCCATGTTTTGTTAGTCTATAAAGTGCTACCAGACTATTTGTTGTTTTTTAAGTTTTTCCAGAAACCATTCAGTTCATTATCCCTCAGGCTTGCTGAAGAAGAATAACGGCTGCAGTAAACGGCCTTAGCGCCACAAAGAGGCTGTCGGGATTCTGTTTGTGTAAGTCCTGTGTTCAATCTGCTGAAATCAGACAGATATGAAAGGGAAAAGCCACCCTCTACAACAGAATTTCTTTGGGAAGAAGAGGCTCCAGCCATTCCTAAAACAACAGGCAGGGTAAGTGCTACTTAGCAGCACCTAGAAGTCTCCTAAAGCAGGGGTGTCCAAACTTTTTTCAAAGAGGGCCAGATTTGATAAAGTGAACATGCGTGAGGGCCGACCATTTTGCCTGACATTCTTTGAACCATTAAAATTAAATGCAAATTAACTATTTTATGCAAAGTTTATTGCAAACTGCATACTTTTCATTTTGTCACATGGATGACAAATCTAAACAGGTGTTAAATCACTCTGCCTTTCATATCTGAAGGCCAGATGAAAAAAAAATCCAGGAAGCTGAAATATATGTCAGGAACATTGTAAAGTACATGACATATTATTGGTAATAAAGGTTGTCTGTCAACTTTTAAGTTCAAAAAATATGAACAGGAACATAACACCAAGTATACATGTTGTGTCCAAATGTATTTATAACTGATTTAGACCAACTGACATTAACTGAGATTTTACAATGTATTCATCTCAATACATATGGATTCGTTGGGGGCCATAAAAAATAGATATTGCCAAATTACCCGGGGGGCCGTATTAAACCGGAACACGGGCCGCAATTGGCCCCCGGGCCGGACTTTGGACATGCCTGTCCTAAAGCAAAGAGAAACATCTCCCCCCTGCCCTCCCCAGGACAGCTGCATATGGTCTCTTTTGACTCACATGCTTCTTTGTGCAACGGTTTGTTCCCCATACCTAGAGAACGCAGCAAGTACCACTTGGCCTTGGTGGTTTTTGCTATAGATTAAGGAAAACTGCCCATCTGCATGTTTTGTTAGTCTTTAAAGTGCTACCAGACTGTTTGTTGTTTTTTAAGTTTATCCTGTACAGACTAACTGGGCTACTCCCTTGAAAGTAGGAATAAGAGATCCTCCGGAAAAGGGCTTATTTTCCGGAGAATCACGTCTAGACTGGCGCTTTTCTCCGGCTTATCCCCGAGCCGGAAAAAAGCGGCAGCCATGTAAATGCAAATGCCGCGGGGGATATTTAAATCCCCCGCAGCATTTGCAATTGCGATGTGTCACATTAGCATCCTTTTTCCGGAAAGGGATGCCAATGTGGACACAGCCAGTCTGTCCCTCCCTGGGTGGCAGAGAAGAGCTGCCAAGACTCTCCAGCAGGAGGCAGTGGATGGACCCTGTCAAAGTTTGGGCTCCCATTCTGCAGCCTCTGACCCAGCGCTACATACAAAAATCAGAACAGCCACACTGGGTCAGATCAAAGGTCTGTCCAGCCCAGTGTCCTGTCTGCTGACAGTGGCCAATGCCAGATGCCTCAGAGGGAGTGAAGAGGGAATCATCACATGACCCTTCTCCTGTCACCCATTTCCAGCCTCTGACAAACAGAGGTCAGGGACACTATTCCTACCCATCCTGGCTAACAGCCATCAATGGACCTATCCTCCATGAGTTTACCTAGTTCTTTTTTGAATCCTGTTAAAGTCCTGGTCTTCACAACACCCTCTGTCAAGGAGTTCTACAGATTGGCTGTACGCTGTGTGAAGAAAAACTTCCTTTTGTTTGTTTTAAATCTGCTACATATTAATTTTATTTGGTGACCCCTAGTTCTTATGTTATGGGAATGAGTAAATAACTTTTCCTTATTCACTTTTTTTCACACCAGTCACAATTTTATAGACCTCTATCATATCCCCCCCTTAGTCTCCTCTTTCCTAAGCTGAAAAGACTCAGTCTTTTTGATCTCTTTTCATATGGGACCTGT